ACTTGACCAAAATGATAAGCGGTCATCGAACATTACTGATTGACGTAATCGTTTGTTTTCTTCTGTTACACATTTTGTTCCCAAACGGTATACAATGTGATCCCCTTTGAACAGTAAAAATCCAAGCTTCAACGGTAATGAAGAAAGGACGGAACAGCCGTGTAAAGCTATCTGCTTATATCTGTCAATATAGGTGCTCTTATCAGTGGTCATGGGAGACGGATATTGACAGAAAAAGAGCGATCCGGGGTACATGTGCAGAAGGGAGGTTTTTCGAAAGACTCTGGCCCTGCGAGGCTCGAGACTGCTTGGAAGAGGCCAATCTGAGATATAGTCTTTTATGTGCAACCCATTTTCAGAACCGAAATATTGCGCTTGCGAATATTATTGTTTCGTCACATGATCTGGACGAAGGAGAAGAATTGCGGAAAAATCGCTTAAAAGGTTAGGGTGTTTTGAACATCTCGCGTTATCACGTCATGAATATATTCCATAGAGCATATCTGACTGATGCAGAGCAGAGACAACTGAAAAAATATTACGATGCTGGTGCTTTTGCAATCCGAAACGTATAGCGACATGATCAGATGAAAACAAATGAACTGAATGCGAATTAAACTCTGAATAAAGTTTAAAGTTTTAACCCTAAGTTCGTTGTTCGATAAGCACAAATTTCTTTGACTGATGGATTAAGACATTCAAAACAAAAGGATATGCATTTATTTGTCTGAGAAAAATGAACCAGATGCTAATTCATCCATTTTCATGCTTAAATATGCTTAGGTACCTGGAAGAACCATCAATCAACAGAAAATGTGTCATACAAATTATGAACACCTAACCTGAAACAGCATTCGTCTGTATGCAACTACAAACCGGTAAACTGTGTGGTCAAGCATGATATATGCCATTAGTAAATCAATAAGTGGCACCAACGCGTCTAAACAGTAGAGACTAAAATGCAGCACATCGAAATATATTCTGTTAATGTTTTGCCAGATAGTTAACTACAGAAAGCACATATCTGAATCTCGTGTGAATATTCATGAAGATCTTAAATCCTAAAAGCAATTTGTTCAGGTTCTCTTATAAACCATGTGACTATCGCATAACACATGACTAGGACAGCTTTGTCTGTGGGTTCATTCATAACTTTGTTCTCGCTTAACCATAATTTATTTGTTCTTCAATCTGTTTAAAATATAATTTACTTGCGTTGAATATATAATTTCCTTAGTAACGCTGTTCAGGCAGTAATCAATCAAACCTGAACGAAGAAGATAATGCAAC